TTTTTTTTTCTCATTGATGAGAAAGTTAATGACAATGTATGCCAAACTCCCTACTTAGGTTTTCAGTATTCAGGAACATTGAGATGAAAGTGCAAATGGCACAAAACTGGCTTCTCCCATTGTGGGGGAGGCAAATCTGTCGACTCTCCACCTGACAGAATTGACACATCAGTGGACAAGAATAATTTTGCATTGTCTCCCTGGTGGCCTAGATGTTAAGTCTCAGCGCTATCACTGCAGCAACCCACGCAGTAGCATGAGTTGGATGCCGGGCCAGTCCCGGGCCAGGGAGCTGACCCACATAGCGCAGCAGACCTCTTCTGCTTTGCCCGCTGCACCTATCAACAGAGTATTAATTTAGTAGATCCACCTGTTCCGCTCTCCACTCTGTCTCTGGTGAATCCTCTCACCCCTGCACTGCTGGCCTACACCCAGATGCTCTACACAAAAATAAATAAATAAAATCTTATAATGCACTGTTTGAACTAACTCAAAGGTAATAAAACACAAGAATTTGATAACCCAGAAGGGTATGTTCTAGACAACACATACCCCACTAAACTAATCACCACCATGAAGTAATTTTAAATTTAAATAAGAAGGAAATGTGTTAACACTATTCAGAATCCTATTCAGGACAAGGACCAGACAGACCAAGATGAGATTTCTGAGTGGCTGGCCCCTCCCCTCAGGTTTTTCACCTGAGTTTTTATATGTAAGTTGCACACACAGAAAGGACATGTTTTCTTCCCTTAACAAAGGAAAGGAGTTATCAATTAATTTCTAACATTTTTAGTGAAGTAAAGGAGTGTGGTTTCTAACACAGTTAGTGCATGATGAAGAAGAAACACTGTTCATATCTTCAGAGCAATCCCCTGATTTTACAGAGCTAATTCAATCAGAACTATCTGTGTTTGGAAAGACTTTTCTCCCCAGGAATTTGCTTATTGACGGCAAGAGGAGGCAAGGTGTTTAAAAACTGAAAGTTTATCTGACTTGAATTGACTTTTCTTTCTTTTCCAGTCAGATAGGGGTTGGATTTGATCTGTACATTGTCAGCTTAAGAAATGCTTTCATGAGCTGTAGGGGAAGTGGGGGGGCAGAACCATTAAGCGGTTCTCACTGTGGGAGAACACTGTTGGTCGCTTACTTCTTTCCTTTCTGCTTTTATGTATGATAAAGTAGTCATTGCAGGTGATGGTGAGCCCAGTAATCAGGAAAAAGAAGCTCTGGAAGCCCACTGTGCCATCTTGGCACTGGTCCAGGTCCTTCATTATTTTGTCTACAGCCAGAGGTTCTTTTTCCAGAAATTCAGGGAATTTCTTTTTTGTTAGTACTGTCAGTCCTCCTTTGTTAAGTAGACTTTAATTCCCAGCAAATTCGTGAAAGATGAACATCATTGTC